TGGGAGCTGCCCCCCACCCCCACAACAAGCTGCGTCTCCATTCCATGCCTTGCCCTACCTTGGCTGGGCAGCCCCTGCCCCCCTCCCTGCAGGGGGGGCATTGATCTGTTCCCTCCCCCATGCCCCTCCCTCCTCATCCATCACAATGGTGTAACCAGCTGCATGCAGCTGTATCGAAATTGGATCAGTATTGGCCGACATGCCCTCTTAAAAACTGGCTATCGGTATCAGCCCCCAAAATCTCTATTGCTGTACCCCTACTGTGTATGCCTGTGCTAGACTTGCCCCATGTACTTCACAGGGCCTGCCTGGGGCATCTGCTGCATGTGGTGCCTGTGCTAGACTGGCCTTGTAAACTGGATCTGGGTATGGTCCAGTTCAGGCCCAAAGACCAGCTCCACATACCAAATCCAGTGTGAAGGCCAGTCTGGCATGGGCACCACATGCAGTGTGCCTCCCATACCAGCCTTGAGCACAGTGTGCAGCACATACTCCAGTCCAGTGCCCAACACTGTACACATGGCTGGATCCAGCATGTGAGGCTAATCTATGGGCCTAATCCAGCTGCAGTCTAGCCCAATGCCCCTCATCTGGTCATAGAGCCAAATAAGTTTTGACACCACTGGCCTAAAGAATATATGTAAAACTATACAGGGAAGTAAAATACTTTCAAGGCAGGACAGTGTCCAGATCAATTTAGCCTAAAATAATTTGACAAGTGAAAAAAATAGTTGAAATAACTTTAATGTTAAGATCAGGGAAAAATAAATATATATTTTAAAATTAGTATTGTGCTGTTTTGCTAGTCATGTGGTGTCAGTTTAAAAAAAAAATCTGCTTTTAATTCATTTAATTCCTTGATATACAATTTTTTCTTATTTTTGATTAGGCTAAACATTCTATGCAGGCATTTGATTATATTTACCTCCTAACTATTTAAGGAATTGTTCAGTACTTAATACAATCCCCATCATAGCCCTTTATCCTACAGAGCCATTAAAGATACTTTTTTAAAGCTCGTCCTTCAATATAGACATGATAATGTGAAATATGTATATTTCAATATCGTCTGTTTAGTTTGTATTGCCATATTAAAAAAATTAGGTCAAGGCTCCTGCACCATTTTTGCCTGGATAGCATCTCAAATTGTATTTACTTTATAGAGAAAAATGCAATAGCACAGATATCATATTCAAGCCAGAAGCATGCAAAAGTTATGGTTCAGAGGATTTACTGCTCCTCATAATTACTTACAGAAATAACACAGTCGGTTACTGGCTTTTTCAGGTTATTCTCAGCAGTCTCCTTCAACTTGGTCAACAGCATAGCTGTTATCTGTTCCACACTAAAGAAGTGCTCCTCATCCATGTATATCACCTGTACAAAAGAAGGAAGTCCAGCATCTGAATTGCAGAAAAGTGGAGTTAAATTTAATTCTTCTGGGGACTATGCTGACCAGCAATCTCTCTCCTTCCAACTTTCTCAACCTGCTCACCGAACAATCAATGTTATTTTTTATAACCAAGTTCCACCCATTTTGAGCCCATGCACAGGACATAATGACGGATTTACACAAACTGAGTGGCAGTAGTAAGTGAATGAAGCCTCCTGGATAAAGTAGATGGCAGTTGAAAAGAAATGCCACAAACTTGTTAGTAAGCTTAGCATGCAAGTATAAACCCTTTAAGCCACTAAATTTAAAGACCAATTTTCAGACTGTACACTACTATAAAAAAAAGAGTTAAGAGATTACCCACAAAGAAGCATTCATTTATGAAGTGTTTTTAGCCATAACACCACCGTAAATCACTTTTATATTACATATTTTCTGAATGATGATCATGTTAAAAGCCTAGCCACCAAGGTATATAGATGCATATAGGAAAAGAAATGCTTCCAGAAAGTACTGCTGTCTCTCTCTATGGGCTTTTTAAAAACTTAATGCAGCAAAAAAGGTTACTTAGAACTTGATACAATTAAAACGCACAATCAATTTGTTGTTTGTTTAAAAGTGTACCCATTACTGTTATAGGCCACAACTAATATTCTTTTAGTCAGAACAGAAAAAACTATGAGTTTGCAGAGATATTCCTTACAAACAGGGAAGTTTTGGGGGATTTTTTTACCCATATATGTAGGAAGTTGTGGTGTAGAATGACAAAAATTGACATGAGCATCCAAGAAAAGATTTCTGTAAGTGAAACATCTTTTACTTATCAATCACATGATCACATAACCCCTCAAAGATCATTTTTCTAGAGCCACACGAATATGCACGCCAGAGTATTTTCATGGGCATAAAGGACCAGTACATTTTTCCTAACAAATTTTTATATGGCAAATTCTATTTTTTAATATTATTTTGTTACTTAGCCTAACTATGGTGAAGCTCTGTAGGCATAGCTCCAGCTGGTTCAAAATACGGAAATTAAAAACACTATGCCATGAAAAGCCTTGAATGGTAGCAGTTAGACCAGCAGACATCTATTTCTCAATGGAGCTTAACTCATTTGGGAAACAAAATGTGACCAATAATGGTAGTGTTGGGGGGGGGGGGGGTAGGGAGGGCATCAGCTACATCTCTACAACTCTTTGCTAGCATAGCTATAAGATCAAAACCCAAACTAGTATAGACAAGACCCTATACGCTGTATAAGCAGATTGTGGACTTGGTCCTGAAAGTGACATACTATTATACAAAGAGGTTTTCTTTGTGCACAAAGATGCTACTCATCTGTAGCCCAGAAAAGCATGTGTGGTACTTGAGACATGGTATGTAACCATGTAATCAGACTATCACAGTGCATACTGCAGGGTGGACAGAAGTCAAGTTAGTACTTCAAAGCAAAACCAAGCTACATTACAATTATCTTAGCAGTTTGTCTGCTAGCATATTTAAGTCATACAAGCTAGCACTGTGGAAGCTCTTGCTAAAAGGTTTTATTTGGTACAGCCAACATACTCCACTTCAGAGTAAAGTTGGCAGTTCAGGGTAACAGCCCCTGTGGAACAAGGGCACAGAATAGCTTTTATGTGAATTAAGCGAAAAACCCGATTTTCATAATTAAGCACAAAACCTTTCAATTTAGCCACAAGAATTAGAAAGTTATACTGTAAACACAATACATTTACCTTGACTCCAACTCCACTGTTTTTCATGGGAATCAGATCATAGCTCAATTTCTCTCTCTCTTTCTGAACAAAAGGATCATTAAATGCACGGCCATGGAATCTCTTAAAGTTACATACTGTGTTGTTGGCATGAGTAATTTGCTGCAAGAGGGGGAAAAAGAAGATGGCTTGAAAAAAAGAAATCACTTAATCTGGGCTTTAGACACCAAGACTAAACCTTCTCCTGCCTGCAATAGCTTGTATTTTGAATTGATGGTTCAGTCACTTGACATCTCTCTCTAAAGTATTTAATTTTGTAGTACCAGAGTTCTGTGCTTACCACATGGGGCAAATGAACAAGTACACTGCAAAGCTTGCTGTCTAATGGTGCACAATGTCACGACAGACCACAGTGAGGTATAGTCTGTTTAAAGTATTATAACAGCAATAAAAAGCTTATTATTTTCTACCAACTACCTGCAGCACTTAGCCCACAACAAACACTGACAAATCTAACAGTATTGCTCAGGGATCTACATATTGAGGAAGACTTCCTGTTTTTATCAGCCCAAAATAAAATCCACACCTAGCAAGAGATGGTATAAAAATCATCTCAACTCATGGTCATACAAGATGAAAGTGCTTAAAATCACAAAAGGAAAACATTTTGGTAGCATTTTATAAACTATTATATAACTGAACCTGAAAATTAAAGATTTAGTTTTTATAATATGAAAAGATTTTAGAGTCACCATATCTCAAACATCCCACTGTATCCTACTTAAGATTACAACAGTAAGACAGTTAGAATGCCATATTTCCTCAACAGTTTTGATCTCCAGTGCTGTCAGATATACCTACTATATTTTGACATTCCTTTGAAAATTTACCAGAACAACATAGCAAGGAACAGACTGGAAGACTAGCAATGATGTAATTAACAGTTTGCAGAGCTGCCTGGCATTTCATTGAGAATGCATAACATTAAAAATGTTAAACTGCAGTTAACAGTGTATTGAATCCCCTGTTTTGAACAAGTGACAGCTAAATTACTTAGTAAGTTAATAACTTCTAACCATGGAGAACCAAACATCCATGCTTGCAAGGAAATTATGACATTCACCCTGTAATGATGTTAAGAAAAGAACACTCACTCTTAGATTGTGGTGATTTAAGATGCCAAAAGATTAGTATATCCTATCTTTATAAATGTTTGCCAAATGGCAAACTGGCAAATTCTGTTTTCAAGCTACTATGATGGCAAAGCATGACAGCACCATAACACACTGAATACCGCTTTGTAATTAAAGTTAATAACAATCTCTCTCTAACACAGTTTCTAATTTGGGTACTCAACTGTTAGTTGCAATACAAGCTACTTCCATTTAGCTTAAGTTTCTGGACAGCTTTTAATTAAATGATCTAACTGTCAGTTCCCCGAGTTATGTTTAACAAAAGATTCATGTGAGTAGGAAAACAATCCACTTTTGGTTCTTATCTAGTAGAACAACCTGTAACCATAGATAAATGTGTGAATAATGGAGGACAGATATTCTGAATACTTGTACACTTTTCTAGTGCATCTCCTGTTTGTTCATAATTAAACAGAAAGCTTCTAAGACTGAAAGAGTCTCCATTGGTGCCCTCTCCATGCAAACCTATTGCAATGCCTTCACCACCTGACAATATGAATAGGTTAAAAAAAGGCTTGGTCTCTACTGATAGGAGTTATATTTACACATAAACAACCCAAAGCAAGATAACTGGGTTTATACATTTGATTATTTCTTAACACATTTCCAGACTGAACCTTTTTAGAAAAAAATATTTAATACTCCTATCAACAACCTCAGTTAAAAAAAACAAAACAAACAAAAAAAAGAGTCAGGACCCAGATCCTCAAGTGTGCCTGATGATCTAGGCCAAAGTTCTTAGTTCATATTTCAATTTAAGTAATCTCACACACAATTTCCATATTTGAAAGATTAAACTTTCAATTCAAGGAAGTTTTATTCTTGAATCAAATTTTTAACAAAACAAGCTGGGTGACTTCTTAAAAGTTAATAAGGAAAATGTTGAACTGGAAAGGACTATTAAACAAAACATTTGATTTTCCTGCAGGGATGCCCTGTATTCTCAGAAGCAAACAGCAGGGACCAGCAGCATGACCCGCAGTCTGCCAATTAAGATCAAATAAGTTTATCTATTAGCTAAACTTTTCCACATGTTCCATTATTTGGAACAGAACTGAACTTTTATAAAAGTACTAGTACCTGAACTTTCCTTCAGAAGCTGACCTACCTGATTCTTAGCCGAGACACCAATAGCTCTGTTTTTTGAGCCAAATGATACAACCGATCTGAAATGAGAGAAACTTGTTAGATCAAGTTTCATATTGGCAAAAAAATGCTACGGAAAGCTGCTGCACAACTATTATTTGTGTGCATATAATGAGACTGTGCAAGCTAAGCTGTCGCTCGTTATACGCACCGATATAAAGCCTTGCTATAAGCCACTCATTTTTCAGTGATTTCTTACATGTACACACCTGCATTCCCTCTTAACTCAAGGTCACAGGATAATACTTTATATCCCAGCTGCATTTTTTATTGCCTGATCTCAATAAAAGGGTCAGTTGTTCTGAACACTGAAAATAATCTCTTTAACCACCCAACTTAT